CCAGGGTGACAGAGTGTGAGACTGTCTCAAAAAAAAAAACAAAGAACTGCTCCCCATCAGTGCTATAACCTATGTTATCTTTTTATTTTTCATGGCATGCCTCTCTACTAACAATCCTGTTGTATATTTGACCCCATCTTTACAAAAAATTTAAAAATAGCTGGGCATGGTGGCATGACCCTGTAGTCCCAGCTACTCAGGTGGCTGAGGCAGGAGAATCACTTGAACCCAGGAGGCAGAGACCAAAGCCTGACTTCTGGTCCTTGGAAACTTTCTTTATTGCCACCTAGAGTAACCAAGGGATTTAAATCTGAGAAAAGAATAAAAACTGCGGCTGGATGGCTTTCTTTTCTTTCTTTCTTTCTTTTTTTTTTTTTGAGACAGAGTCTTGTTTTGTCGCCAGGTGCCAGGCTGGAGTGCAGTAGCGTGATCTTGGCTCACTGCAACCTCCACCTCCTGGGTTCAAGCAATTCTCCTGCCTCAGCCTCCCAAGTAGCTGGGACTAACGGCACACTCCACCACGCCCAGCTAATTTTTGTATTTTTTGGTAGAGGCGGGGTTTCACCACATTGGCCAGGTTGGTCTCTCTCTTTTTTTTTTTTTAAAGATGGGATTTCACCATGATGGCCAGGCTGGTCTTGAACTCCTGACCTCAGGTGATCCACCCACCTTGGCCTCCCAAAGTGCTAGGATTACAGGCATGAGCCACCGCGCCCAGCGAGGATGGTCTCGATCTCTTGACCTCGTGATCTGCCCGCCTCGGCCTCCCAAAGTGCTGGGATTACAGGCATGAGCCACTGCGCCCGGCTGGCTGGATGGCTTACTTTAGCTAGTAGCCTGTTTGTTTCTTCCACTAGAACAAAGCTCCGTGAGGCAGGACTTGTCTATTTTGCTTACTGCTATTTCTCTGGATACATCTGACATATCATAGGCCCTCAAAATATACTTGTGAATGGAGCCACACCAACCCGGGCTCTAATCCAGGTCCGGCTACCTCCTAGCTGTGTGACTCTCAGTATTTCAGTTAACCCCTCTGAGCCTCAGCTTGTGCCTTGGAAAACTAGAGGTGGTTATGAGTATTAAGTGAGATCAGGCAATAAAATACCTGTGCAGTGCCTGGCACACGATAGGTGCTCCATAGAAATGGTAAGTGACAATCACAGACTTCCTTCCTTGCCTCCAAATTCTTCCCTGGCAAAGAAGGGGGACAGCCAGAGACTGGGGCCTGGAGTTCACTGAGTGGGTTCTGCACTTGTGTGCAGTGAAGACATGAGGCCTCAGCCTGGAGGAACTCCCCAGACTGTGATCAGGGGCCGGTAGAGAATGAAGCCAAAGCAGGAGTGGTCAGGCCTAGCCAACATGGTGAAACCCCATCTCTACTAAAAATACAAAAATTAGCCCGGCGTGGTAGTTCACACCTTTAGTCCCAGCTACTTGGCAGGCTGAGCAAGAGAACTGCTTGAACCCGGGAGGTGGAGACTGCAGTGAGCCGAGATCATGCCACTGCACTCCAGCCTGGGCCACAGAGTGAGACTCCATTGCAAACAAAAAGAAGGAGCAGTCAGAGAGGAAGAGGAGGAACAGAAGCATGCAGGTGGGATGGTCCAGGACTGCAGAGGGTCAAAGAGAGCAAGGCAAAGAATTGGGCAGTGAGCTCCTCCATAGAGCAGTGCCACTGACCTGGAGCCTGGGGATGAGGCCGACTTTGATTGCTGTCATTAGAGAGGATAGGAGGTGACAGCAAAGGTGACATCGTAGTAGGAAAAGTTGGGGATGGAATTGGAGTTAAAAGGGGCAGAAGAGGGAACAGCTGTTCGCCTACAAATAGTTACTGGGCACTGGCTGCATGCCAGGCACTGTTCTAGGCACTGGGAATACAGCAGAGGAGAAGACAGAGTCTCTGCCCGCTAGGATAGAGGCCCACGAACTGTGGCCCACACAACAAATCTGGCCTACTATGTTTGTATGCTTGCAGGCTAAGAATGGTTTTTAGATTTTTAAATCATTTTAAAAGTCAAAAGAAGAATATTTCATGACATGTGAAAGTTATATGAAATTCAGATTGTAGTATCCATAAATAAAGTTTTATTGGAACACAGCCACGCTCCGTTTACGTATCGTCTATGGCTGCTTTCTCACTACAACAGCAGAGTTGAGTAGTTGCAACAGAGACCATATGGCCTGAAAAGCCTAAAATATTTACTAGCTGGCTCTTTAGAAAAAGAGGTTTGTTGACCCCTACTCTAGAAAGTTACATTCTCTGGTTAGACATGGTGGCTCATGCCTGTAATTTCTGCAGTTTGGGAGATTGAGGCAGGTAGATTGCTTGAGCCCAGGAGTTCGAGACCAGCCTGGGCAACATAGTGAGACCCCATCTCTACAAAAAATACAAAAATTCCTAGTGGCATATGCCTGTAGTCTCAGCTACTCAGGAGGCTGAGGCAGGAGGATAGCTTGAGCCTGGGATGTTGAAGCTGCACTGAGCAATGACTATGGCGCTGTACTCCAGTCTGGGAGACAGAATGAGGCCATGTCTCAAAAAAAAAAAAAAGAAAGAAAGAAAGAAAGAAAAGAAAAGAAAAAAGTTACATTTTCTTTGGGGAAGACAATTAAACAAGCAGGTGAGCTTTTTTCCAGGTGCTTCCCAGGACAAGAGCCAGCTGGTTTCAGTGTTTCTTTGTACCCTGCTTCTTGGCCACCTTCCCCTGGAAGAGAACTTCTCTATCCAGCCAGGCTCTGATACAGCAGCAGAACAGGTCAGGTCATGGTAGTCAGTCCCCTGCCTCCTGGCCAAGAGGATCCAGCCTTTTTCTGGAAGGAAAATAGCCTCACTCATTGATTTGCAAAGTCTAGCATCCACCAGATCCCCTTCCCCTCTCCCAGATCCTGGATCCAGGAACAGCTTGTGACCTCAGAGGAACATAATCACCTTTGTTTTCAAGGCCTGCCATCTGTGTACCTGCCACCTGGATGGTGCTCCCTCTTTAGACACACTCTTCTCACCCACTGCTTCATGAAGCCCTCACAGGGCTAAGGCATGGGTAGGGATTGTTAGTTCCATTTCCAGATGAGGAAACAGACTTTTTCTATTTTTTTATTTTTTTTATTTTTTAAGACAGGGTTTCACCATATTGGTCAGGCTGGTCTCGATCTCTTGACCTCGTGATCCACCCGCCTCGGCCTCCCAAAGTGCTGGGATTACAGGCTTGAGCCACCGCGCCCGGCCAGGCTTGTCTTAAACTCCTGACCTCAGGTAATCTGCCAGCCTTGGCCTCCAAAGTGCTTGGATTACGACACCCGCCCTGAGGAAACAGACTTAAAGAGATGAACTGACGGCCAGGCGCGGTGGCTCATGCCTGTAATCCCAGTACTTTGGGAGGCAACGCAGAAGGATCATGAGGTCAGAAGTTTGAGACCAGCCTGACCAACATGATGAAATCCCATCTCTACTAAAAATAGAAAAAAATTAGCCGGGTATGGTGGCACGCCTATAATCCCAGCTACTCAGGAGGCTGAGGCCGGAGACTAGCTTAAATCCAGGAGGCGAAGGTTGTAGTGAGCTGAGATCCCCCCATTGCACTTTAGCCTGGGCAAAAGAGACTCCGTTTCCAAAAAACAAAAAAACAGATGGCTGCTACCGTGGCTGCTGCCAGTGCAGGGGATTCCCCCGTCCCCAGATGAATTGTTCTCGAGAGGCGATGGGGAGAAGACTAAGGGGGAGCTGGAGGAGGATGACGACAAGGAGCTAGATGAGACCCTGTCGGAGAGACTATGGGGCCTGACAGAGATGTTTCTGGAGAGGGTATGGTCCGTGGTGGGAGCCACTTTTGATCTCTCCTTCTTTGTAGCTCAAAAACTGTACAGGTTTTCCAGGGCAGCCTTGGGAACTGGGACCACTTGCTTTATGATCCTGGTTCTTCCCGTTGTCTTTGAGACTGAGAAGTTGCAAATGGAGCTACAGCAGCAACTGCAGCAGCGGCAAATACTTCTAGGGCCTAACACAGGGCTCTCAGGAGGAATGCCAGGGGCTCTACCTTCACTTCCTGGAAAGATCTAGATTGTTACTGCTCTTTGAGCTGTCTCAGGGGGATAAATTTGAAATTCAATAGTGTTTGAACTGCTGATTTTTTTTTTTTTTTTTTTTTTTCAGACGGAGTTTTGCTCTTGTTACCCAGGCTGGAGTGCAATGGCGTGATCTCGGCTCACCGCAACCTCCGCCTCCTTGGTTCAAGCAATTCTCCTGCCTCAACCTCCTGAGTAGCTGGGATTACAGGCACGCGCCACCATGCCCAGCTAATTTTTTGTAGTTTTAGTAGAGACGGTGTTTCACCATGTTGACCAGGATGGTCTCGATCTCTTGACCTCGTGATCCACCCGCCTCGGCCTCCCAAAGTGCTGGGATTACAGGCGTGAGCCACCGCGCCCGGCCCTGAACTGCTGATTATTTGGATTTTTTTTTTTAAACTTTAGCACATGCACATTGATCTATCTAAACCTGGTGGGGAGAATTGTCCCCACATTGTCTCACGGAAAGACTCAACTTGCAACTGTGCCCTCCACACTATCCTGACTTCTGTCTTCACTCTGACACCAGAGTGCAGCCATGCAGACAGTTATTCCAGCTCTAGCCACCCCACTCCTTTCACCAAATTGCTCCTAACTGCCGGGCGCGGTGGCTCAAGCCTGTAATCCCAGCACTTTGGGAGGCCGAGGCGGGTGGATCACGAGGTCAAGAGATCGAGACCATCCTGGTCAACATGGTGAAACCCCGTCTCTACTAAAAATACAAAACATTAGCTGGGCATGGTGGCGTGTGCCTGTAATCCCAGCTACTGAGGAGGTTGAGGCAGGAGAATTGCCTGAACCCGGGAGGCGGAGGTTGCGGTGAGCCGAGATCGCGCCATTGCACTCCAGCCTGGGTAACAAGAGTGAGACTCCGTCTCAGAAAAAATAAATAAATAAATAAAAATAAAATAAAAAATTGCTCCTAACTGGAAGATCTCACTTTCCCCTTGGGGAGTAGGAACCGATGCCAGTGGGAGGGATGTGCCCCTGACCATTAACGACTGGTTTTTGTTTTTTTATTTTTTTGTTTGTTTTTGAGACAGAGTCTCACTCTGTCACCAGGCGCCAGGCTGGAGTGCAGTGGCGCGAATCAGCTCACTGCAACCTCCGCCTCCTGGGTTCAAGCAATTCTCCTGCCTCAGCCTTCCGAGTAGCTGGGAATACAGGCACGCGCCACCACACCTGATAATTTTTGCATTTTTTAGTAGAGACGGGGTTTCACCATGTTGGCCTGGATAGTCTCAACTTTTGACCTCATGATCCACCTGCCTCAGCCTCCCAAAGTGCTGGGATTACAGGTGTGAGCCACCGCGCCCAGCCTTTCTTTTTTTTTTTTTTTTTTAAGAATGAAGCTGTTAGGGAGGGAAATGCACACAATGTGAAACAGACAAAATGCATTTCACTTGTAGTGTAAAGTGGCCACTATGAATCCCTATATATAAGAGGAGGCTGGCTGCAGCTTCAGTCACAGAATGGGGACTGTGGAAGATGGAGCAGGGGCTGATTTTCTCTGCACATTTTGGCTGTTAGACCTGTGTGTATGGGTTTAAAAAACCAGAAGTCAGTGCTCACTTTTTGTATTTAAATATTAAAAATGATTCCAATGGAAAACAACAACATTTACAGCATACTAACCAGAATTAGATTCTGTCTCAAGAAACCACTTTCTTTTTCTCTTTCTTTTTTTTTGAGATGGAGTCTCGCACTGTCACCTGGGCTGGAGTGCAGTGGCTCAATCTCAGCTCATTGTAGCCTCTGCCTCCCAGGTTCAAGCGATTCTCCTGCCTCAGCCTCCCGAGTAGCTGGGATTACAGGTGCCCACCACCATGCCAGGCTAATCTTTTTTTATGGTTTTAGTAGAGACAGGGTTTCACTATGTTGGCCTGGCTGGGTCTTGAATGCCTGACCTTGTGATCCGCCCACCTCGGCCTCCTAAAGTGCTGGGATTACGGGCATGAACCACCACGCCCGGCCCAAGAAACCACTTTCTTTGCCTATTCATAAGAAGCAACTCCTTGGCCGGGTGCGGTGGCTCAAGCCTGTAATCCCAGCACTTTGGGAGGCCGAGGCGGGTGGATCACGAGGTCAAGAGATCAAGACCATCCTGGTCAACACGGTGAAACCCCGTCTCTACTAAAACTACAAAAAATCAGCTGGGCCTGGTGGCGTGTGCCTGTAATCCCAGCTACTCAGGAGGCTGAGGCAGGAGAATTGCCTGAACCCAGGAGGCGGAGGTTGCGGTGAGCCGAGATCGCGTCATTGCACTCCAGCCTGGGTAACAAGAGCAAAACTCCGTCTTAAAAAAAAAAAAAAAAAGAAAAAAAGAAGCAACTCCTTATCTGTTAATTAAAAAAAAAATGTTGTTTTTGAGACAGAGTCTCTGTGTTGCCCAGGCTGGAGTGCCTGTTAAAATTTTATCATAAGATTGCAGCAATTCAGTCACAACTTCAGGACCCACTTCTAGTGCTATTGCTATTTCCACCACATCTGCAGTTACTTCCTCCCCTGAAGTCGTAAACCCTCAAAGTCATTCATAAGGGTTGTAATCAACTTCTTCTAAACTATTAATGTTGATATTTTGACCTCCTCCCATGTGTCACAGATGTTGTTAATGACATTTAGAATGGTGAATCCTTTCCAGAATGTTTTCAACTTACTTTGCCCACATCCATCAGAGGAATCAGTATCTATGGCAGCTATAGCCTTATAAAATGTATTTCTTAAAATAATAAGACTTGAAAGGCAAAATTACTCCCTGATCCATGGGCTACAGAATGGATGTTGTGTTAGCAGGCACGAAAACCACATTAATCTTGTACATTTCCATCAGAGCTCTTGGGTGACCAGGTGCATTGTCAATGAGCAGTAATATTTTATTTTATTTTATTTATTTATTTTTTTCTTTAGAGATGGGGTTTTACCATGTTGGCCAGGATGGTCTCGATCTCTTGACCTTGTGATCCACCCACCTCGGCCTCCCAAAGTGCTGGGATTACAGGTGTGAGCCACTGCGCCCCGCCTGAGCAGCAATATTTTAAAAGAAATCTTTTTTCTAAGAAGTAATCTCAACAATGGGCCTAAACTATTCCATAAGCCATGCTGTAAACAGATGTGTTGTCATCCAGGCTTTGTTGTTACATTTATAGAGAACACCAAGAGTAGATTCAGCGTAAGTTTTAAAGTCCCTGGGATTTCCAGAATGGTCAATGAGCGCTGGCTTCAAATTCAAGTTTCCAGCTGCATTAACCCCTAACAAGAGAGCCAGCCTGTCCTTTGAAGCTTTAAAGCCAGGTATTGACTTCTCTCTAGCTATGAAAGTCCTAGATGGCATCTTCTTCCTATAGAAGACTGTTTCTTTTTTCCTTTTTCTTTTTTTTTTTTTTTTTTATTGAGATGTAGTTTCGCTCTTGTCACCTAAGCTGGAGTGCAATGGTGCGATCTCGGCTCACTAAAACCTCCGCCTCTTGGGTTCAAAGGATTCTCCTACCTCACCCTTCCCAGTAGTTGGGATTACAAGCACCTGCCACCACACCCAGCTAATTTTTGCATTTTTAGTAGAGACAGGGTTTCACCATGTTGGCCAGGCTGGTCTTGAACTCCTGGTCTCAAGCGATCCACCCGCCTCAGCCTTCCAAAGTGCCAGGATTACGGGCATGAACCACTGTGCCCAGACTGAAGGCTGTTTCACCTACATTGAAAATATGTTAACTGGGTGTGGTGGCTCACACCTGTAATCCTAGCACTTTGGGAGGCTGAGGTGGGCAGATCGCTTGAGGTCAGGAGTTCAAGACCAGCCTGGCCAGCATGGTGAAACCCCGTCTCTACTAAAAATACAAAAATTAGCTAGGCCTGGTGATGCATGCCTGTAATTCCAGTGACATGGGAGGCTGAGGCAGGAGAATCGTTTGAACTTGGGAGCCAGAGGTTGCAGTGAGCCAAGATCTCACCACTGCACTCCAGCCTGGGTGACAGAGCGAGACTCTGTCTCCAAAAAAAAGAAAAGGAAAGGAAAGAATATATGTTGTTTAGTGTAGCCAGCTGGATTATTGCTGAACCTTCTCCATCAGCACTTGCTGCTTCACCTTGTTTTTTTTTTTTTTTTTTTCCACCTTGTATATTTTTTTTAAGATGGAGTCTCACTCTGTCACCCAGGCTCCCGTGCAATGGGCAATCACGGCGCACTGCAACCTTTGCCTCCCGGGTTCAAGCGATTCTCTTGCCTCAGCCTCCCGAGTAGCTGGGATTACAGGCGCCCACTACTATGCCTGGCTAATTTTTGTATTTTTAGTAGAGACAGGGTTTCACCATGTTGGTCAGACTGGTCTTGAACTCCCGACCTCAGGTGATCTGCCTGCCTCTGCCTCCCAAACTGCTGGGATTACATGTGTGAGCCACCACAGCCATACTTTTTTTTTTTTTTTGAGATGAATTTTCGCTCTTGTCACCCAAGCTGGAGGGCAATGACACCATCTAGGTTCACTGCAACCTCCGCCTCTTGGGTTCAAATGATTCGCCTGCCTCAGCTTCCCAAGTAGCTGAGATTATAAGCATTCACCACCACACTCAGCTAATTTTTTTGTATTTTTAGTAGAGACGGAGTTTCACCATGTTATGCTGGTCTTGAACTCCTGACCTCAAGAGATCCACCTGCCCCGGCCTCCCAAAGTGCTGGGATTACAGGCGTGAACCACTGCACCTGGCCCTGGCAACTTTTTATTTATTTATTTATTTTTATTTTTATTTTTTTTTTTGAGAGTTTCGCTCTTGTTACCCAGGCTGGAGTGCAATGGCGTGATCTCAGCTCACCGCAACCTCCGCCTCCTGGGTTCAGGCAATTCTCCTGCCTCAGCCTCCTGAGTAGCTGGGATTACAGGCACACGCCACCATGCCCAGCTAATTTTTTGTAATTTTAGTAGAGACGGGGTTTCACCATGTTGACCAGGATGGTCTCGATCTCTTGACCTCGTGATCCACCCGCCTCGGCCTCCCAAAGTGCTGGGATTACAGGCTTGAGCCACCGCGCCCGGCCTATTTTTGTTTTTTAATTTTATTTTTGAGATGGAGTCTAGCTCTGTTGCCCAGGCTGGAGTGTAGTGGTGAGATCTTGGCTCACTGCAACCTCTGCCTCCTGGTTCAATGATTTTCCTGCCTCAGCCTCTGCAGTAGCTGGGAATACAGGTGAATGCCATCACTCCCAGTTAATTTTTGTATTTTTAGTAGATACAGGGTTTTACCATATTGGTCAGGCTGGTCTTGAACACCTGACCTCGTGATTTGCCAGCCTCAGCCTCTCAAAATGCTGGGATTAGAGGCGTGAGCCACAGCTCCTGGCCACTTTTTATTTTTGTAGAGGCAGGGTCTCACTATGTTGTCCAAGCTGGCCTCTAACTCCTGGACTCAAGTAATCCACCCACCTTGGCCTGCCAAAGAGCTGGGATTACAGGTGTGAGCCACAGTGCCCAGCTGTACCATATTCTTGTCATTCGTGTGTTCACTGGAGTAGCATTTTTAATTTCCTTTAAGAACGTTTATGTCAGTCGCGGTGGCTCACGCCTATAGTCCCAACACTTTGGGAGGCCGAGACGGGCGGATCACCTGAGATCAGGAGTTCGAGACCATCCTGACCAACATGGAGAAACCCCATCTCTACTAAAAATACAAAATTAGCCAGGCGTGGTGGCCCATGCCTGTAATCCCACCTACTCGGGAGGTTGACGCAGGAGAATTGCTTGAACCCAGGAGGCAGAGGTTGCAGTGAGCCAAGATCGTGCCACTGCACTCCAGCCTGGGCAGCACTCCATCTCAAAAAAAAAAAAAAAAAAAAAGAACTTTTCTTTTGCATTCACAACATTGCTAACTGACAAAAGAGGCCTAGCTTTTGGCCTTCCTCACTAAAATTATTTCCAGCTTTTGATTAAAAATAAGAGACATGGCCGGGCGCGGTGGCTCATGCCTGTAATCCCAGCACTTTGGGAGGCCGAGGCGGGTGGATCACGAGGTCAAGAGATTGAGACCATCCTGGTCAACATGGTGAAACCCCGTCTACTAAAACTACAAAAAATTAGCTGGGCATGGTGGCGCGTGCCTGTAGTCCCAGCGACTCAGGAGGCTGAGGCAGGAGAATTGCCTGAATCCAGGAGGCGGAGGTTGCGGTGAGCCGAGATCGCGCCATTGCACTCCAGCCTGGGTAACAAGAGCGAAACTCCGTCTCAAAAAAAAAAAAAAAAAAAAAAAAAAATAAGAGACATTTGACTCTTCCTTTCACTTGAAAACTTAGAGGCTACCGTAGGGTTTTTATTGGCCTAATTTCAATATTGTTTTATCTCAGGGAAGGCCAGAGGGGAGGGGGAGAGATGAGGGAAGGGCACCGGTGGGTGGAATAGTCAGAAAACACACACCATTTTTTAAGTTTGCCATCCTATATGGGCACAGTTTGTGGCACCCCAGAACAATCACAATAGTAACATCAAAGCTCACTGATCACAGATCACCATCACAGACACCATAATAACGAAGAAATTTGAAATATTGTGAGAATTACCAAAATATGACACAGACATGATATGAACACATGCTGTAGAGAAACCTGCGCCTGTAGTTGCTC